CTGACCAACCAGGAGGACTTGGGACCTTCACTCACCATCTGTTGCTCCAGCAGCCCCACTTAAGTTCAGCCCTGATGTTGGCTGGACCCTGCAGCCAACTGTAGCCTTGTCACCAGCCCTGCTTTTGGCGCCATCTCTTCACAGGATGCTCTGGATCATCCTGGGCCAGATTCATCCCCTTGCTGTGGCAGGGGCAGCTAACAAACCCCACCACTACACCCTGCTCTGCCCCTGTGTTCAGCCCCGTGGGGCTGAGCCCCTTCATGAGGGCTTGGCCTGCACAGGGATCTCCCTTTCCCCCTAACTCAGAGCCAGCCCTACCTCTTCTGCGAGCTGCTGAGCCAAGTGAAGCCGCTCCTGCTCCTGGCGGCAGAGCTCACCTATGGTTTGTGCATGCAGCAAGCAGGAGGCTTCGCAGGATTCGGACACAAAACTAATCTTCAGCTCCTGCTGTCAGGACCCATACCCAAGCATTAGCCATGATAGGTTCAGGCTAGTTTATGAGAATAGGAACTGACAAGCTAAATGGATGTGTGGAGATTAGAAAGCCATAAAATGGCTGGAATCAGGACTTTCTGAAAGTTTTTGGTGGGAGAAGAGGGAAGATAGATGCTTCTGGATCAATTGGCTAAAGTGAGGGTTAGGATCACGCTCAGCAGGAGTGGAAGAGCTGGGCTTACAGCGGGATTTGAGGATGCCTTGAGAGCTGTAATAGTGGTTATTGCTGGCAAGGGGAAATGACCGTCTGGAGCAGGGAGGTGTTGCCGGACTGCAGGTGATGCCCACGTTACTGCTGGCACCGGGGAGCAGCTCGGCCGCGGTGTTCCCACCTGCCTTCGTAAGGCTCATAAAGTCCACAGTGCTGATGGTGAAAACAGTCACTGCTCAACGCCCCAAAAATGGCTCAGCTTTTGCATTTAGGGATCTTCTCCTATCATTATGAAATGTAACAAGTCAAACACACAAAGACATCTGCAGAGAAAGAAGAATCAGCCCCTTATAACTTGATGACCCCCATCTTAGCATAAATACATCAAAAACTGACAACAGTAAACCCTTCACACTGCGCCACAAGGAGCCCGGTATTAATTTCTCCACTGGAAATGCTGTACACACATCAGAGCTTTTCAAATCAAACATCATGTTTCCTGAAAGCAGTTGGAGCTTTCATGGTAATAGGAGCTGTTGTCACATTATCATAAGGATCTCCCAAAAGATATCCAGTCTGGCTTTGCAGCAGATGCTGAATAAGAATTTCATGATCGAAAATTGTGTCTCAACTGCACTGCTTCAATTAGGAGCCAGCAAGGCCAGAAAGCAGCACAGAGGAGGACTGCTCTTTTTTTCACTGAGGCATCAGAAAACACCTCCAGAAACCTCTGAAATGTCTTTCCCCAGTCTAGTAACAAACCAAAGCAATCATTTATTCACCTGCCTTATCTTAAAAGCAAGTCAACTTCTTACCACTCTCTGGGAGCACTCCCCTGGTTAGACCTGGAGGGAAGGGTGTCACTTGGTAAACCACAACTACCATTGCCTTGCTGGTCTGGCCCAGCAGAGCCAGAGGAACATGGCACTAACCTGACCATACACTGGCTACCAGGGAAGGAAAAAGTCATTTTGCAGAATGTAATCATCTGTTTCTCTCTCTAAAAAATACTGATAAAATACCAAAAATGAAAATATTGCTAATGCAAATGTCAAGATTGTTATTTTTGTTTAATCCCTGGAAACTCATTGTACTCTCAGTTTGAACTGCATTGGACAGCATCAGTAATAAACAACAATTAGTCATCAATATTCCACCAAGAGGCATGGTCGCCCCCCTCTTGTACAAGCTTCACCTGAACCAGTTCAAAGACTGAACACTTGTGTCTCATATCTCAGGAGGAATCAGTTTTAAGGTTTGAGATTAGGCCTTTGTTACTGGGTTTTCTAGTTCTGTGCTCAAAAAATTAAATTACATGCTTTGGGCTTTGCATAAAAATAAACCCACAGTTTTCAGTAAGCAAGAATATATAAGATAATTCTAGAAGAAGTGGAGCATGCTTTATGGTTCAAATAATGTTGATCACTACTTTAGACAACACGGTAAGATGAAATTAAGTCAACACAACAAAACAAGTTCTCATTTGCTGTCTGTAAAGCATTTTAGCTTAGGAAAAAAGTAATGTTGAGACTACACCTTCGAAAAGATGTTTTGATTAGTGGCACTGTACCTTGTCAGTAAATATGGCGAGAATGAAGCTGGATTGTCCTGCTCTGAAAACATTGGCATAGATCCTCCCATTATCCAGAGGCGGAAATACAAAATGAGAATCACCTTAAAAGAAGAATATCTAGTTTAATAATAGGCTACAGAAGAATTAAGGCCTCCAGCACTTTTTTATAGCTCTCTTATTTATGACTTGACAACCACTAGCTGACTTGCATCTGAGCAAGATTAAGTAAAACTTCAATTTTGCAACCCAAATTCCAAAGCCAAAATTCAACCCTGGGATCCTTGTTCATCCTTCTTGACCCTCCAAGTCTGTTCAGAAGGGGACGTGGCAGTGTGCAGGGCTCACCTGGGTGGCAGGCCGAGTGGGCTATCCAGGGAAGAAGAGCCTACCTTTGAGTTCCCAGGCCTGTGCACTCTCTGGCAGTGCTGCCCCATTTCCACCCCATACACATTTCGCTATAGCACAGAGTGCAGGAGAGCTTTGGAACAAACCTCCCCCTAGTAGGCGGCCTCTCAACATCATATGGAAATTCCGAGTATCCAAGTGATGAACATCCCAGTTCTCAACACAGACAGCATGCTAGCTTGTCCCCATCCCATTCGTGTGCACATTACTAACAGGAACTGGCACATCAAGGCCACCCACAGCACATAAATTTTGAAGGACAAATCTGTCACCCTGTTGTGGTTCTGACTACAGAGCTCTGCTATCACCCTCTACTGAAATAAAGGGGAGAAAGCTGGACCGGTATCTTAAAAACCACCATTATTCACTCATGTTGGCATAGCTCTAAGGACAAGCTCCACTGATGTTTCTCATACAGTGTATCCCTAGACACTGGAAGGACTTCTGCTGGCTGGCACTTCACCACCTTCCTGGGAACCACTGGTCACTGCAAGATGAACAAGAGGATCTGGCCTATGGAGGAACACAGGGAGATGCACACCCAGTGGGATCCTGCTGGTGTCCATATTTTCCTCCTGGAGTGCCCCAAGCACTAGGTATTTGAAGGCAGAGCTTTTCTGGTGACTCTCTGTGAGCCTGCCTTGAAACTAGCAGCATGCCACTGAAAAGTCAGTATTTGCCAGTCAGCTCAGTGCTTTTATCGCCTTATACTTGCAGATGGTTACAGAGTTATAACCCCTAATAAATTTTAAGAAAATTTGGACTGAAAACTCAATATCACAATAATCTTGTGTCTGTCCAGCTGAAATTTTCTAGACTAGCTCCCAAGACTAAGCTGTGTGCTAAGACCTACCACGGCAGCTCTCCGGCTCGTGTGAGACGATGCTCACTCTAGGCACACGTGCACAAATACAAGGCCAACTCCATTCATACTTACATAGCTTATCACCAAAGCAGCTCTCTTTAAAAATGGTCTTGCAGTATACAAGAAATTCTGGTTGTTATTTGCAGTCAGGTAGCTGAAATATAAGAAAACAAGTATTTATTGAAATGCTTTGGACAAATAACTCATTTCTTACATTGGAAAAAAAAATCGCCTGTGCATTGTTTTAACCACCCTAAACTAACTTGCTATTAGCAATTATTAGCACTTTTATTCTTTGAATCCCTTTCCATGTGACTTAATTATACTCGTAAAATACTGAAAACATTTCAAATAATGCATATCATACTCCCTCCATTTTTTTAACATCATTTAACTTGTTAATCCTTACAAAAACTCAAGTATATGTCTCTTAAGATTGCTGGCTCTGATCTCCCAGAAAAACATACTGAGACACGTTTTTAAAAGGTCACCCAAACAGAGCAATTCCATTTCAAGCCTTGATTAAAGCACAAAAATTCCTTGTTCCCAGCTCTCTACTCAGTCTCTAGAGAAGGGAAGAATTATTAAAATTGAACTTACTTACTTTAAGCATTTTTCCCCTCAATGTATATTCTACACACCTAAATTGCAGTAAAAGTCAGCCGGCAGAGTGCAACAATTATTAACAGCAGTAAGTCAGACACTGGTAGCTTGTTGTTCTAAAAGCATTTGTGAAAACCATCCTGTTTCTTAAGGAGTACAATTAAAATATTTTTGAAATATGTAGGTTTGGCTCTAGATGTAGTTTAATATAGGGTAAAAGCACTTCTCAAATATAACAAATGACACCATTCCTATGAGATTAATTCTGTTGTAATTGCACTTGTAGAGAACATTACAGTTTTTGTCATTGTATAGCAAGTGATAAGAAACAAAAATAAAGAAGTAAATACAGAAAAAGATGGTAACATGACAAGAAAGCAGAGAAAAAATATTTTAATCCAAGAGAAACAGGACAACTGTTGAAAAACTGACAAGTAATTTTAAGAAGTTATAAGTAACAAGCAAACAAAATAAATATAAAACTGAAGTATTTGTAGGTTCCTCTGTGTAACATACAGACAGTAGAAGTCATCTATCCTGGCATAGTCCATTTATATGGACAGAATGAATCACAACAGCTTGCACACAAGTTAGCTCTGCAAGCATGAAAGCGCCATGCATTTTTTTCCTGAACATCTAACACACAAAATACATCTTTTTTCCTCTCCACAATCCTCAAAACAGTCTGTCATCTGACCACTTCTACCCCTTTAGTCCTTAGGGAAAAAAAAAGCTTCCTAAGGTTGCCAAGAATCCTTAATATCTGGTGCTCTGTTCAAAATTTCTATAGTAGGAAGCTGGCAATTCTGGTCACCATGGAAAGACAGCAAAGATTATGCTGCAAACAAAGTATTAGCAGCAAAGCCAGCACAAAAAGGGGTAGAATTTAACAAGAAGCATGTCTGGGGGTGCCCTCTAGAAAATAACTGCTTTTCAGAAAACTTCTTTAGGTGTCACACCTAAAACTCAGTAACCAAACCACATATTGTATGGAAAGACAAATGACCTTAGGTCTTTGGTGTCTACTTATTTACAAATGTTGACATTTAAGCACAGAATCTAACTTAAATGTCAGACTAATCTTCAAGGGCTGAACTCTGCAAAGTGCAAAGTTTTTGAGCTCCCACTGATTTTAATCAGGCTCCAGCAAGTACAAGCAAGATGAACCTAAGTGTTCAGCTTTCAGTCTCCATGAAAGGTCAGGTTGGCCTTCAAGTGCTCGCCATGGCCCTGCTCCAAAACCCACCCGAGCCAAAGGGAAAGACTCTCAGCGACTTTAATAGCATTTGGATCAAACTCTGGTCTTTTGTTCCCTATTGGAACGTTTTATGAAACCCAACCCCCTTGCAAATTTTGGTAAGAACAGAAGTGTTAGGTTGCATTTTGTTTGTATTTTTACGGGTGGAGGAAGGGGACTGCCCACTGTTATCCCTATTGCCCGACTCTTTCTGTTACAGGGAACCTGTTTTGCTTGTAGTTTTGACAAACTGCAACACTTAGGGCAGAACTTTTCCATTGCAAATAGTTGCTGGGGAGGGCGAGGGAGAGTGAGGGAGTAGGGAGAGCCAGAACAGCTCAGATTTTTCCGAGACTTTATTTAGAGAAAGAGTCTGGCAACCTGGCTGAGTCTGGCAACGTTGTCCTTGAGAATCTGTGTATACCAGCTCCATGCCTTGGTCCAGTGAGAGACTTAGGAAGCTGCCATCATCTCAGGGCCATGTCTTTTGGCACCCTCCAGAAGAGCCACCCACATTCACAGAAATCATAAGTCCCCAAGAAGCGACTGCAGGGGTGGGGAGGGGAGAGGCAATTTGCAATTTGCATCAAAGATGTTCGAGTGGGAACAACTGCTGGAGGCAATACACTATTTGAAGAGGAAGCAATTCAGTGAGGAAGGCTAAGCTTCATTTCAGACTGCTGATGCTGAGGAAACTGCTTCTGTGCTTCGGGGCTTATAAAAAAAAAGGACCCTGATCTAGATGTGCAGAGAGTGACCGGGCACCCTCACCACTGCCAGCTCTTTGCTCTCCATCAAGCCTGGCCTGAGGAGAAAATTAAAGACAGAAAAAATGTAAATGGAAGGCAATAGCTCTTTCATCCTTGGCAGGGAAGTGCAGGAAAGCATCCTCTTTACACATTCTGATTTTCCCTTTTTTTGGTCTGCCTAGGAATAGCTAAATTGCTTGCAGCATTTTCACACCTTCCTCACTGAAGTACCGTGCTATGTATGTTACCAAACAAATTTCAAGGCACCAGTTCATCTACAAGCCAAAGTTAATTTCAAAATCGTAACTCATCCCTCACAGTTCTAAGTTGTGTAGAGGTAGCATAATTAAGACAAAAGAGGAGAAAGAAAAATTAAAAAACAAAACAAAACTCTACCTTGATGCTAATTGCAGATCACTGCCTGACCAGCAGCAAGCACAAGGGCACCAGAATGGAGGGGAAAGATAACTGGGAATGGGCCAAGCAAACTGAGTACCCTGAGCTTTGTGATGTGTCCTGCCAATGCTTTTACCACTTGGCAGCTTCAGTCAAGAAACGTTCCTTCCCATGGCCATTCAATCAAGAAGCAAACGCTTTGCATCTCAAGGAAGCTGCTGCTCAAAGTTTATCTGGAAACCAGGGAAGATAGCTTTGCTCATTGCTTGTAACCCAGCTGTTTGCCTTTATGAAGTCCCTTGCAGGTCTGGTTCTGCGCAGCTGTGAGCGGGGAAGTCCCCAGCGTTTTCGCGATGGGAACCTCAACGTGAGCGCGCCGGGTCTACGGCGCGGGCATGGAGCAGAGCCGCGCATCGCTGGCTACTCGCTCCCTTGGAACGGCCTTGCAGGAACACTCCCTAAAGCAGCCCGAGGCACAGCTAGCAATAAATCCAAGGAACGCTTAGGAACGGCGGGATTTCTCTTGCGCCGCACGAGCGGAGGCCCAGGCAGGTGCTTGGCAGCTCTGGCTTCCTGCGGAGCGGGGCTCGTCCTGAAGCCCGTCACACCACGGGAGCGCACGCAGGGGTCGCAGTGGAAGGCAGCAGGGTAGGTGGCCCAGTAAAACTCGCGGCCGTGCCGTTTCCAGGAATGTAAACTTTGCCGGGACCAGATGGACTCCGTGTTATTCACAACAATCTCCTCCAAGGAGCAGACAGCTGTTTTAATTTGCCTTCAGTGCTGACAGCATCTCGGCCAGCCGAGAGCAGGACAGCTCCTCGGCCGCAGTTAATTGCCATGATTTTGGCTCTTCCCCACC